TACGTAGAGCTTCATGGGAGACACTAAATAGAGCTCAGATGCTGATTTAAAAAAGCAGATGGAGAAGACCAGGCTTAGGAAGTTTCAGAGAGGAACAGGGACTTCATTGGCAGTTGGGTTCTTGGCCATGCTCTGGAAGGTAACTAATCTATATTTGGCTCCTGGTTTGAGGCTTTGGGGGTGCCTGAGATTAAGAGTAGCAGACTAATTAATTTGGCAGAGTAAATTTCAAGGCAGTCATGTTCTGGTGATGGTATGGGTACTATTTGGGCCTTTGGACAGCTCTGTCTTTAAATATTAAGAGTACATTGGAATTTGCTTTATGCAGCATGTTCATTTTAGTTGTGAATTGTAAAAATAATTCTGTAACTAGCAAGTTAAAGAGTGCTATTCCAAAAATATTTTGAACCCTTTCAAATCAACATGAAAGTTACTTTATAGGATAAAAATTGACTACAAAGAAATGTATGTAAGAAATAATATTTTCATGTTGACTCCTATTACAAAATTAGAGATGCACATCCATGAAGAGACAAAGTTGGTTTCAACACAATTATTTAATAAAGAAATAAAACTCTTAAAATATACTCAGTTCTTTCTATGAAATGATAGTTTATAAGTATATATAGTATATTACCTAAGATATTATATAATATTCAAGTGTTACTGCAAAATTACATTAAATTAAAACTTAGTTTACCAAAGTGGAAATGTGATGTATATATTACCTTAGTTAAAATTGGTTAACAGTTTCAGCTGTGTACTATAATAAATTCAGTTAAGTTTTAAACATTTAATGAATTATTTAAAAACTTAATTCTTAGTATAACTAAATGAAAACCTTCATATACTATAAATTTTAATTGTTTAGTTTTGCTTTTACTAATTGTGAGTTATATTTTGCCAGTTTTAATAATAAACATCTATATGTTATGAAGTTCAAAATTTTTCGTAAATGTGCTTGTTTTATTAACATCTGCTATGAATCTTTGAAAATTATACTGAAGAGCAAACACTCCATTTTTATTATTTTTATAATTATGTACTTTGTTTCTAGAGTTTCTAAGTTTAACTTATTCAAAACTCTTGTCTCTGAATTATAAAGCTAAAATAATGTACTAGTAAATCTAATACTGTCTTTTATGACAGTGCTTTTTTTTTATTAGTACATGTTAGTGCTACATAGTGTTTACATTCCTTGTGAGGGGTTAATACATATAGATACTATATCTTAATTCCTTTTCATCCCTTTCTCCCTTTCCTTTTATCATTTGATCCCTTTCCCTTTTGAGAAAGATCTGTCTCCCTTCTTCCTATTGTCTTTTAGTCTTCTCTTTATAGGTATTTATACTTTTAGTTTCTCATGTAAGAGAAACCATATGATATTTAAGCTTGTGTTAATATTATTTTATTTAACATTGTGGTTTCAAAATGCATCCATTTTCCTACAAATGACTCCAGTTTTTCTTTCTATATTGCAGAGTAGTACTCCATTGTGTGTAAATGCCACATTTTCTTTATCTAGTGTTGATGGACAGACAACTTCCAAAATTTAGCTGTTCTGAATTGTGCTGCTATAACCAGGGATATGCATATATCCCTATAATATTATATCTGTAATACCTTTGGAAAGATACCTAGAAGGGGTACAGCTGGGTCAAATAGAATTTCTAGTTTCAATTTTTTGAGTAATCACTACACAGATTTCCATTAATTACTACCAACAATGTAAAAGGGTTCCATTTTCTCATGTTCTCCAGCATTTGCTATTATTTGATTTATTGATGATGGCCATTCTTTCTGGAGTAAAGTAGAATCTCAGTGTTGTTTTAATTTGCATTTCTCAATGGCTATTGATGTCAACATCAATAGCGTTCCTTCATGTATTTATTGGTCATTTGCATTTCTCCCATGAAGTGTCTATTCATATTTACTTGCCCATTTTTTGATTGGGTCTTTTATTTTGGGATGGGTCTAATTCTGTTATTTCTTTATATATTATAGATATATATTCCTATGTCTGAGGAAGGGCTAGCAAAATTTTCTTCCCATTCTGTAGATTGTTTTTTTGACTTTTGTTGTTGTTTTTGTTTTTTTTTGTTTTGGGGTTTTTTTGTTTTTTGTTTTGCTGTGCAGAAGCTTTTTGATTTGATAAAAATTCCATTTGTTGATTCTTGGTACTATTTCTGTGCAACTGATGTTCTGTGCAGAAAGTCCTTAACTACAGCAATGATTTCAAGAGTTTTATCTATTTTGTCTTCCAGCAGGTTGTTTCTGTTTTAACATTTAGTTTAGTTCATGGTGACACGTGTGTCTAGATTCAATCTTCTGCATGTGGATAGCCTATTTTCCCAACACCATTTATTAACGAGGCTTTTTTCTTCCAGTGTTTGATTTTGGTCCCTTTGTCAAAAGACCAAACGTGGTTGGAATTTTTCGTGCATCCTCTGTTCTTTTCTATTGATCCTCGTGTCTGTTTTTGTGATAGTAGTTTTGTAATATGTGTAACATTAGGTCTGGGATTGTGATGTCTCCCACTTTTCTTTCTTTAACCCAGAATTGTTTTTGTTCTGAGTCTCATCTGGTTCCATATGAATTTGAGGATTATTTTCTCTAGTTCTGTGAAGAATGTTGTTGGAACTTTTTTTGGAATTGTGTTAAATCTATATATCAGTGTTGGAAGTATGATCATTGGTACTATATTGGTTCTGCCTATCCAGGAACAAGGGATTTTTTTTTTTTAATTTTCTCAATTCTCTTCGATTTCCTTGTTTCAGAATACTTAGTTTTCATTGTAGAGGTCTTTCACTTCCTTGGTTAGGTTAATTCCAAAGTATTTAATTACTCTTGTTGCTCTTGTGAATGTGTTTTTCCTTTTTATTTCTCAGTGGGTTCATTGTTAACCATACAGAAATACTTTTGGTTTTTGTGTATGATTTTGTAACCTGCTGTATTCCTGAGTTTGGTTTTTAATTCTGAACAATACTGTGGATTTTTTTTGGGGGGGTAGTCTTCTATGTAGAGAATCATGCTATCTGAAAATAAGGATAATTTGACTTCTTCCTTTCCTCTACATACCTCCTTTATATGTTTTTCTTGCCTAATTGCTCTTGCTAATGTTTTGAGTACTATGTTGAACAGGACTGGCGATAGTGGAAATTCTTGTCTTGTTCCTGATTTTAGAGCAAAAGCAGTTTTTCCCCATGTAATATGATGTGAGCAGTCATTTTATCATATATGGATTTTATCAGACTGAGGTAAAGTCCTTCTGTACCTATTTTCTTCAGTATTTTTATCATGAAATCATGTTAGATTTTGTCAGACTTTCTGTGTCTATGGGGATGATTATGTGATTTTTGTCCTTTTTATGTGATTTATTACATTGATATGTGTATGTGCAGTGATCCCATCTGGGCCTGAGCTTTTCTCACTTGGTAGCTTACTTATTACCACTTCAATTGCCTGCTATTAGATTATTCAAGTTTTTTAAAATCTTAGTTCAGTTTTGGTAATTCATATATATCTGGGAATGTGTCTATTTCTTCTGAATTCTTCAAATTATTGGTGTACAGGTTTGCAAAATAGCTGCGGGTTTTTTTGTTTTGTTTTGGTGGTGGTGGTGGCATTGTTGTTTTTGTAGTGGGGATCAAGCTCTGGACCTTGTGCTTGCAAGGTAAGTGGTGGAATCACTGAGCTAAATCCCTGGCCCAGCAAAGTGCTGTTAATGACGTTCTTTATTTCAGCTGTGACTGTTGTGATTTTACCTTTTTCATTTCTAATTGGGTCTTTGGTTTTTTTGTTAGGTTGGCTAAGGCTTTGTTTTTTATTCCTATAGAAGAATCAACTCTTCATTAATTCTTTGGTTTTGTGTTTGTTTGCTTGTTTGTTTTGGTCTCAATTTCATTGATTTCTGTTCTGATCTTTATAATTTCTTTCCTTGTACTAGCTTTGGGTTTGGACAGTTCTTGTGTTTTTAGGACCTTGAGGTGTATCATTAGGTTATTTGACCTTGCTTTGTTTTCATGATATGGGCATTCACAGCTATTCCCTTTTAGGACTGCTTTCACTGTGTCCCATAAAGTCTGGTATGTTATTCTGGCATTATCTTTAGTTCTAGAAACTCTTACTTCTTTGTCTGCCTCTGTAATCCATTGCTTACCTAGGAGTGTATTGCTTAGTTTCTATGTGTTCCCCACAATGGAATAATGTATATCCTCTGTATCTCACAACTGTATTGTTAAGCAAAATAAGTAAATACATAAACTACTGTTAGAGCATTAAAAACTGAAAATCTATCCAAAATACCATTTTTCCTTGCCTTATCAGTCAGCAGTTTGCTGTATAAGCAGTTTGCTTTATGATTGGGCCTTTGATCCAGGAGCTAGCTTTCTTTTTGGGGGGAGGGGGGATTCAAGACAGGGTCTCACTATGTAGTTGAGACTGACTTGTAGCCCAGGCTGATCTCACAGCGATCCTTCTGCCTCAACCTCCCGAGTGCTGGAGTTACAGGCATGCACCACCACGCCCAGCTCCAGGAGCTAGCTTTCTCAAAAATTTGTAGGGCAAACCTGTGAAGCTTTGCTTTTTTTTCTATAGGAGGAAATTAAACTATATAGAATATTTCTCATGCTCATCTCCATTCTTTCTTGTTCTTAGAAACCAGCCTGAGAATCACTGCTACAACTCTCATAGTAGCACAATAAATAATTATACCAGTAGGTCCAAGATAGCTCTAGAAATACACAAGAAATTTAAATCTGCAGGTTAAAAGGAAACCTACAGAGAGAAGTATAAAGTATAGTTATAAAAATAAATAAAATGGCATGTTTGGGACATAAAGTTACCACCAACAAGCTTCCTGTGAACTTGAATTATGCGGAAGGCTAGAAAAAACTGGGTGTGGTTTATTCTACCAAATACTCAAAGTTTGGAATTTTCAGTAGAGTGAGTTGAGTAGTAGTAAAAAGAGTAGTAAAATCTTGTATTTTGTCTTTGGGCAGGCGGCGTCTAAACTGGATACAGTGGTCTTCCCTTCTGATTCTATTTTTTTCTATTGTGGCCCTAACTACTGGGACTAAAACTTCACAGCATAACCTGGCAGGACATGGATTTCATCATGATGCCTTCTTTAGCCCATCCAATTCCTGCCTTCATTTCAGAAGTGAATGTCCTGGAAAAAATTGCACAGTGAAGGAGTGGACTTTCCCTGAAGCTAAATGGAATAATACCACAGCCAGAGTTTTCAGTCACATTCGTCTTGGCTTGGGCCATATACTGATTATAGTACAGTGCTTTATTTCTTCAATGGCCAATATCTATAATGAAAAGATACTGAAGGAAGGAAACCATCTCACCGAAAGCATCTTCATACAGAACAGCAAGCTCTATTTCTTTGGCATTCTTTTTAATGGGCTGACACTGGGTCTTCAGAACAGTAACCGTGATCAGATTAAGAACTGTGGATTTTTTTATGGTCACAATGTGTTTTCAGTAGCCCTTATTTTTGTAACTGCATTTCAGGGCCTTTCAGTGGCTTTCATTCTGAAGTTCCTGGATAACATGTTCCATGTCTTAATGGCCCAGGTTACCACTGTCATCATCACTGCAGTGTCTGTCTTCATCTTTGACTTCAGGCCCTCCTTGGAGTTTTTCTTGGAAGCCCCTTCAGTCCTTCTCGCCATATTTATTTATAATGCCAGCAAACCTCAGAGTCTGGAATGTGCACCTAGGCAAGAACGGATCCGAGATCTAAGCGGAAGTCTCTGGGAGCGTTCAAGTGGGGTACGTTTGTGAGAATTGTGAGAAGTTTGTTATTCCCAAATTCCAAGCAAGGAATAAAAGATGAGCATTGATTTATCAAAGACTGCTAGATCTTTGTGGCTTTTAAAAATCAATCAAAAGATACTCAGTGGATGTGATAAATGCTGTCAGGGTAGAAAAAAGTTTTAAGTCACAGCCTCTCAAGAATTTTATGTATTAATTGTATTATAGACTATTACAGAATCACAGACCTAGAAGATGACTCTTCATTATTTTGTCAGTCCCCCAAATTTTGTGACTAAAGAATTGGGATAGCTCATAGGTACTAAGTGAAAGAACTGATATTGGACTCATGATATTTGACTAGTCCCCTGATTTTTCCACTGCACAATAGTTGGAAAATTGTCTCATTTGTAAAAGAAGTTGATATTTCACAGTGGTAAGTCTTTTTAAATGGAAAACCTGGCTCCTGAATTCTCCCCGTAGTTATTTATAAACCACAGTTCGGCAGAAGGGCAGGGTTTATTTATTTCACTAAGAAGGTAGTTTTATAAGCAGGAAAAAGGTATTTTCTAGAATAAAGGTTCATGCAGTTAATCTGAAAGTATATCAGTTGTCTACGGTGTTTAAGAACTGTCTTTCAATCATGTAAGTAAATTAAAAATGTCTTGATAGCTGAGCGTAGAGGTATATGTCTGTATCCCAGCACTCTGAAAAGCTCAGGTGGGAGGATTAAAAGTTAAGACTTGCCTGGGCAACTTGGCAAGACCCTGTCTTAAAAAAAAAAAAAAAAAAAAATGCTGGGGTTATATCTCAGAGCTGTGAAGGGCCTGAATTCAATCTAAAGAAACTCTAAAGTAGAATAAAATATCTCTTGGAGATTCACTGAAGGAGTTAAATATGTTTAAATGAAAAGTGGATTAAACTTTTCTTTATGGCATTAGAGTTACAATTTTCATGAGTCCACAAAATATGAACAATTTCACAAGATGAACCTATTTCACTCTTTGGTAAAATCTGCTGCTTTAGTTCATGGCAAACTTTCCCTAAGTGTCAGGGCTTAGCCAGTTTTACGGTGAAAAGGTCAGGAGCTTATATGTCAAACACCTGGATCTCAGCCATAGTGTATATTCACAATTTCTCTATTCTTTTCTGATGGGCTGAAAATTGCTCCAATTTTTAAGCAAAATAAAGTCAGTTTATGTAGGCAGGCCTAGCTTACATTCATTTCTCCAGCCTGTAATCATTTTCCCTCAAGAACAGCAGATGGTGCTGTTTACTTGGCTCATGTTAGCTTTGGACAAAGACTGTATTATATTTCATTTTTTTAATCATGCTATTATACTTCTAAAATTAGCTTACCAAGTATTTATTTAATTTTACTAGATTATTTACAGTTTAATGAAATGAAACCCATGATTTAATGAACACGTTTTATACATTTTCATAAGCCTGTCCCTTAGTTAACAGTTAAAGTGTGACTTTTCTAATTTTTAAAATTAATTACTTATTTCATATGTTTTCTTTTAGGATGGAGAGGAACTGGAAAGACTTACCAAACCCAAGAGTGATGAGTCAGATGAAGACACTTTTTAAATCGGTACCAAAATAGTCGGCAGCTCTCATCAACGCTTATCATATTTATCTTTTCCCTTTGCTAAATCAAGGATGTTCTAAAGCATAATACTTTCACAAACAATATTTCTAATATTTATATTTTCACACTGATAAACTAAGGATGCTCTAAAGCATGATATTCTACATATATCTGACCTAAATGATTACATTCAAGGTTTAGAGAATACAAAGGGTGACAGAGTTCTAAGGAATCAACACAGAGATAATAACATAGAGACTATTAATAGCCCAGTACTTGAGAAGTCAACAAGATAATTTGCACATTATTTTTCTTGTCCTCATTGGTTTCAAAAGACTTGCAGAAATCATGTAGTTAGGCCTTGTAATTATACAGGTAGAGATTCATTAGCAAGACATTCATAATTATATGGTTCTGGGCTGCATGCTACAATTTTCCCTTTTTATCAATTATGAATATTATCTAAGTTGTTCATCAAATGTTAAGGCCCTAAAGGTCATCATTTTGCAATTATAGGGCAATAAAACTATCTAAAAATTTTGACTGAAAGACCAGAATGTCTGACTATGCCATAGATTTAGGGTAACATAGTTTCTGCAAAATATTTTGTGTAAGAGGCAATTTTTCAGAAACAAAATTTAAGAATTCATAGAGAATTTTATGTTTACTAATTATCTTTTGATTATATACAAATAAGCTTCGTGTAGATGAAAATGGCCAGAGTTGCCACTTGTATTTTAAATCACTTTAGCCATTGTGAGGTTTTTTTTCTTCTTTAGTTTGTATGTCACAAAATACTGGATTATTATATTTTGGGAAAATAATAACAAGGCACTTTATTTGATTACTTATTAGTTAAAGCTAGTGACTGTTATATATCTTAATTATATACTGTTCCCAAAGTCAGAATACAGGTTTCACAATTGTATGAGATTGTTAGTAAGACTAAGAGTTACTTTTAAAAGGATCCTTGTGCAAACAAATGTTGACTTTTATATGAATAGTAGTACTTAATAGTACAAAGGTCAATAGTCAATAAGTCCTTTAAATTAATAGTTAATACTTACAAGTCCATAGTATTTTTCAAGGTATTTTTGCATGCAACCGAAGACTGTGGAGTAGCACAGTCAGGTGACAGATCATTTACAAATGAGAAAATAATGCTGGATAGTGATAGAAGAGCAGGCTTCAGCTGATGAGCCTATTATGTTTACTAAGTCCTGTGCTGTGATAGTTATAAGGGTTCATGCAGCCTACATGCATGTTCTCTTTTTTCCTCTAATTCTTATGCAGGTAATAATGTTATATAATACACCTGTGATAACATAGAATAGAATAGAATATATAATGTTATATAATTTACCTGTGGTGTATAGAATACTATGACTCGAGTATTGGTAGAAATTTATAATTAAAATGATTATTAAACGTATCTGTCATATCAGGTGAAACATGGAATGTGGCAATAAAACAACTTAAAATTTTCTCTTTGAAATCAGTCTATTTATTTACTTTGCTATTTTAAACGCTGGGGATTGAGCCCACATCCTCAGCCTTTTTTTTTTTTTTTTTTTTTTTTTTTTTTTTGTTTTTTTTTTTTTTTTTTTTTTGAGACAGTGTCTTGCTAAGTTTCCCAGGCTGAGCTGAAATTTACGATCCTCCACCTTTCTTACTGCTGGGATCATAGTTGTGTACCAACACACCCAGCAAATCAGTCTTAACATCTAAGAACAGCAACCTGTTTGCCTTGTCATAGGTATTTTACCATTTATATGAAGCAGTAAGATTATATCTATTAAAGCAATTCTTTTTAAGGTCAAGAAGATAAAGTATAAGATCTCTTTTAGAAAAAATGGCATACAAAAACATCTTACAGAACATGTAAAATTACAAAAATACTCCTACAGAAGTATTGACTAAAGAATGCATTAAATTATAGATTTCAGTAGTGTATGGAAATTGATTTTTCTTATTTATGATTACTTTTTTTTTCCACCTTTCCTTTTTGGAAAACATTTGTTGCCCAAAGTAAGGTTTACTTACAGTAACTCACCACTTAGTGAGAGAAAGGGACAGAAATAAAGCTGAAACTGGTCTGGAGATGTATCTCAGTGGTGCCACTGCCTGTCTTGCAAGTGTAAGGTCCAGAGTTTGATTCCTGGTACCAAAAAAAAAAAAAAAAAGCTGGAACTAAAATATGAGGTTCTGAAGTGGATGTCCTGGAGTACTTCATGGCATCATTGTTTTAAGAAGGAGGGTAATTTGAAAGTGCAAGGTCTAGAAACCATATCCTAAGTGCTCTTGGGATCAAGAGATGGTATGACATGGAAAGAACAGTTGTCATGGAGAAGACATCTTTTGTATTCTGGAGGAGTAAACTGCATTGAAAGTCATAGATTATTCTTATTTTACATTTCAAAAAATTTCTTTCACTAAACATACTTTTCAGCAGTAGAAAGGTCTTCCTGAAGAGTAGAGAGTAGCAGTAAATTTTCACTGAGGTTTTTAGGTTGTATCATCAGGTTGTTTTAGACAAGATTCCTTCTTCATTGGTATGGACATTGAACTAAGTGATTTTTAAAGCCCCTTTCTATTTTTTAGATTTTCATCTAAGCAGTTATGACCTATAACTAACATACTGATTCTACTCCACAGTTACTGAATACCCTTTGGTTGCAAGTATGACCTACAGAGGATGACCTAGTCCAGCTCAGTCACTGGTGTAGATTAATCTCGTATGCAGGAATGTGCCTGGTTGGGTGGGTGGCAGGAATGTAGCTATTGGTTATAGAGAAAAAGTAGCTTAGACCAAGATCCCAAATCCCTGGCTAGTTCACCCTGCTCCATAGACTTTCAAGATCTACTTACAGAGGGGACAGACACTGAGAGCAGAGTTACTCTACATGGGTAATAACTAAAGCTTTTTTTTTTTTTTCCTGTCTCTAAATCCCTGTGTGGAAAACCCTTGTCATTTATGAGGTGGACTCAATTTCAGATTGTAAATCTCAGTATTGCAGGAAGTCCTTTCACTCTACAAGCCCAACAGACTGAGTGAAGCAGTTGTCCTCGTCCTCTTTGGCTCCTTTCCCTTTTACCTGTGTCCTGATTGTATTCATGAACTCTGATATTCCAATGGGGAGAAGAAGCAGAAAACTTTAAATTCTTACTCTGTAAGGCTCTCCTTATAATGTAAATTCAGTGTTTTACACTCTTTGCTCAATACCCTATACTTACTTACCTAATTTATGGGGCTATCAGGTTGTAGAAAAGTTCAGAGAACTTTGGAGTTTCTAAATAAGAATTTCCACCATGTGTAGTGGTGCATTCTTATAATCCCAGTACTCAGGGAGGCTGAAGGAAGGATCCCCACTAGTTCCAGGCCAGCTTGGGCTACAGTGAGTTCCAGGCTGATCTGAACTCTTAGTGGCAAGACTCTGTCTCAGTGCAGCCCCCTCCCCCTCAAAGAATTTTCTTTAGAATAGTTGGAGGAGGATGGAAAGAGAGTGATTTTCCCATTCTACACCCTAGAGCACAGTTTCTAAAATTAAATTATCAGGCCCGGTGTGGTGGCTCACGCCTGTAATCCCAGCACTGGGGAGGCTGAGGCAGGAGGATCACTGTGAGTTTGAGACCAGCCTGAGCAACATAGTGAGTTCCAGGTCAGTCTCACTGCATAGTGAGACCCTGTCTCAACCAAAAAAAATAAAAATTAAATGAAATGATCAATATTTCTTCTTCAGCAGAAAAAAAATTCTCACAAAGCTCTATATGGACCTTTATCCTACTTCACTTGAGTGGGGATGTTTTTGTTTATTTGTTGTTTGCTTGTTTTGTTTTGTTGAGACAGCATCTTGCTGTGTAACCCAGGCTGGCCTTGGCCTCCCAAATGCTGCGGTTATAGGTGTGCACTACCAGGCCTGTCTCACTGTTGTACTATAACTTAAATGCATACAAACATAATATGAAAGATAAACTTCTTTGCCTATACTTTCTGTATGAAAATCTAAGACAAATTTACAAAGTAAAACATACAGCTATAAAACTGGTAAGTTTTAAATGCAAACATGAATTTAATAACCAAGTGGTATTTTGGTCAGATTGATTTGTGGCAGACCTCTTACTATCGCTGCTGTCCTTGCTTGCTGTTTTAGTTGCTTCAAGTAGCATCCTGTGTCTGCCAAGATTACTGAAACCTGCTGATATTGCTGGTAATAAATTGAAGCCTGCAGTGACTTACCATCCCATGTCTCTAACAGACCCACATGGTTTTGGCCTGGGTCACCTGCCAATTCCCACTGGCTTTGTTGCCTTGGGAAAATTTTTAAATATTAGCTTTACATGTTCCCTCAGACTCTCAATGAGTTCGGTAGTAAAATTGCCTAAACTTGCTTTTTTTTTTTTTGAGTATTTTTTCCTTCCCATAACCTTCTCTTGCTCTTCCTCTTCTTATTTCACTCTTAATCATTTGTATTTTATGAAATTAATCATATTTTTAAAATTATTTCCATAGGAATTTTTAAGTCATCCCTTAATTCTTTTAATTTCCTGTTACTGTAATTTTGTTTTCTTTCTTGTTCTTAATTTTTCATATGAATAGTTTCTCTATTTTTAAGAAAAAATAGGTTAGCTACTTCTAGTTAATTGTTTTACATATTTTGACTGTGACAAAATACATTAAAAATTAGACTCTTAACCACTTTTAAGTGTATAGTTCAGAAGTGCTAAGTACATTATTCATTTTGTATAGTCACCATCCAACTATAGAACTTTTCTTTTTGCAAGATTAGGACTTTGTGTCCATTAAACAATAGCTCTTTATTTTCCTTTCTCCTCAGCCCCTGCCAACCACTAGTCTTCGTTTCTCTCTGATTTTGATTACTCTTTAGTACTTCATTTAATTAGAATCATACAGTATTTGTCTTTTATAACTGGCTTATTTAACTCAATTTAATGTTCTCAAGGCTTTTCCATATTGTAGCATATAAGATTTTTCTTGTTTCTTA